CTGGGGCACTCGAAGAGATAGAAGAGAAGGTGAATTGGCAGTAAGGAAGAGAGAATCTGGTAGAGCAGGTCACAGAGTGGAATATTAGAGTTTATATCATTAGAAATCAATTTTTAAGTTACTGAAAAGTTTATAACCATGAAAGTGAGTAGCTCAATTGAAGTGAAAGTAAAAGTCAATCAAAGATTAAATTGGAAAATATATTGCTTGGCATTTAGGAATTACTTCAGAAATATTAATCTTAAGAAAATTAAGAACACCAAAGCACTCCTAGTGGGCCATTATCATAACACGAATTTATGTGGTAATATTTTATTCTCTCTAGTGAAGGGAGTAATTCAACAGTCTTGATTATAGGTCAGAAAAGGATTTCTCCAGGTGTGACCCAATGACCACATTCATTGTACAGTATTTGAATTGCTTGAGCAGCTTGTTTCAGGAGAAAATGAAATATTTTAAGATGGACTAAAGGAGTTACCACTGAGTGTCTTCAATGGAAAACCCAGCCTTGTCTAGAATAATCTGGGTTATCTGTTTCTATCACTTTCTTTGTTATTTGAAATTCTGTTAGTTGCAGATTACCGTTAGTATGCAAATATTCTTGTCTATAGACATGCAAATGATTGATTTTGGTGGCAGTATAATTAATTTTCCTTCCTCCACCTTCCATCAGGAAGTCAGTTTTGAATCTAACAAGCAAGTTCATTTCAGTGTTTCTTAGTGCCTAGATATGTGTGGCTCTTTGAATTTTCCATAAAACTCATTATAACATCACACTGGCTCCCTCATTAAACAAATGAGTTAAACAAAAATCTTAGACAAGTGTTCATTTTATATTTGTAAGCCATAATTTACCTTATTTTAGGAATTTTCCTTTAACATTCCTAAAAATAAAGATTCCTATGTCCCTTGTTAGACCTACTGAATCAAAATCTCAGGCTTAAGGCACAAGAATTTGCAGTTAGGAAGCTTTTCAAGTGATTTTTAGGAATACTAAAGTGTATTAACTACTAAATTCTATTACTAATTCCTTAAACTTGAATAAATTCTTGTATTTATAATTCCATCTTCATCAAAGTAAACTTTTGGTTAGCAAAATGGTAGAAACCCCCTTATTCAATAAGATTGGGACCATTAATAAACAGCCACAAATTTTAAGTTAGATGGAGGAATCGTAAGAAGTATTATATGTATGTCCTTAAAACTTAATTTTAATTTAAAAGACACGTGTAAATAAATTTGCAGTATTTGTATGATAAGTTCAAAGCCTTGCATGGATTCACTGAGTGGAGTTTCTTGTGGAAACTATGTCAATGATACGTTGTCAGTGATTTCTTGTTCCCTTTTTATGAAGAGAACTGGGGTCTGAAATCCTAGATTACATAATTTTTCCCATTTGTTTCTAGCTTTCTTGCCAACCGTTAAGGTGTCAGCAACTGTTTGTGTCTCATTTTTCCAACACATTCAGTTTATTTCTCAGAAAAACAACACTACTACTCTTGTTATACTCATTTTCTCAGTTACGTAATTTTACTAAATTGCATAACAATAACAAGAACAAATGGTGTAAACATATTTAGGAATGAACACAGCTTCCTCTAATAAAATATACAACTTGCGTGATGGAAGGAGAAATGTATGGGCCTTGGAAGTAGCTCAAGGGCTTTCAGTTTGCAGTGGACCTCAGTCAGTAAGTTGTACAGGGGTACCAGAAAGTGCTGATTGCAAATCAGTTAAGTGGAGGTCAGTTAAGGCAGCATCCACTGTATCTTAATTTGTAAAGTGAATGTTCCAGGACGGGGCTCACTTTTGCCCCATAAAAAATATATATATTTTGTAATTTTGTGGGGTTCTTATTTTATTGATAATTAATCAATGATATATAAGGCTACCGATTAGGTCAGTATGAAATAATCAACATTACTAACTTTAATGACAGTTCCAGATAGAAATAAAAAGTATCCAACTATATATAAAACTTAAAATCTATGTAGCTTTTTCTAGTGTACATATATAACTTTTCGAGATTTTTTCAAGTACTGTATTAAATACAACTTTTGGGAATCCCCACACCTGGCTCCCCATGATGACATTCAAGGATTCCTTAGGATTCTGGGGATCTGAGACTGAAAGCTACTGCTCTGTAGGAATGAATGAAAGAATAAAAAAGAAAGGGAAGGAAGGGGTAGTAGCATGTTTACTAATTGTAAATTAATCATGAATGAAATTTTATTTTATTAATAAATTTGTTAACTTTGGGTTGCCAAATCTAACAAGATATCAACATGGCATTCATGGTGATCACACTGCTAGTCAAATTTTATCTTAGTTCAATGACTATATTATTAACATCATCCTAAAATACAAAAATTTCTGCCTTAATTCTGTGAATAATTCAGTTATTAATCACCCTATACACTATTTAATGAATGGAATGGTGCTGGGAATAAAGGTAATTACAGGGCTAAAAGATTTTTTTTCTGGGTGCAGGGCATAGGATTTTGATGTTTTACTAGAAAAAAACAAAATTAATATTTTATGCAACCAGAGGCTTTTGCCTCAGTTGTCTATTAATATCTATCAATCACTATAACCTCAGTCCTATTTCTTCCATTCTTCTTTTTGCTATCATAAAAACTTGCCTATTTTTTCATGTTAGATCTATGTTTCGCCACTTTTCTTTTCATCCAAACAACAGGACATCAACTTAGTACAGATTGTGCAATTGATCTGAACCCTACAGACCTCACGGTTTCCGTTTACATACCTTCTGCTGTCAGGCTGAACAAATTTATTTTTTTAATTCAAAATTTTAATTTCATCTAATCATATTTATTTATTCATTTATTATTTTTATTTTGAAAATAATTTTAACTTTTATTTTACATTCAGGGGCACATGTGCCAGTTTGTTATATGGGTATATCTCATGATGCTGAGTTTGAGGTACGAATGATCTCATCACCCAGATACTGAGTTTACATGGTTTGAGTCTGTGTCCTCACCCAAATCGCATGTTAAATTGTAATTCCCAATGCAGGGAGAAGGACCTGGTGGGAGGTGATTAGCTCATGAGGGCATATTTTCTCCTTGCTGTTCTCATGATAATGAGTGAGTTCTCATGAGATCTGATGGTTTAAACATGTGGCACATTCCCCCAGCTCGCTTGCTCTTCTACCACCACGGTAGGACATGCCTTGCTTCTCCCTTCACCTTCTGCCATAATTGTAAGTTTCCTGAGGCCTCCCAGCCATGCTTCCAGTACAGCCTGTGAGTCAATTAAATCTCTTTTCTTTATAAATTACCCAGTCTCGAGTAGTTCTATATAGCAGTATGAGAACAGACTTGTCTTCCTCCTTCTCCCCTCTAGTAGTCCCTGGTGTGTACTCTTTCCATCTTTATATTCATGAGTACCTAGTGTTTAGCTCCCACTTATAAGTGAGATCAGGTGGTATTTAGTTTTATGTTCCTCCATTAATTCACTTAAGATAATGGCCTGGGCTGCAACCATGTTGCTTCAAAGGAGATGATTTTATTTTTATGGCTGCATTTTATTTTATGGTGTATGAAACGGTTTGGACCATGGTCCTTCTAAATCTCATGGTGAAATGTAGTCCTCAGTGTTGGAGGTGGGGCCTGGTAGGAGGTATCTGGGTCATGGGGATGGATCGCTCATGGCCTGATACCATCCTTGTGAGAGTGAATTCTTTCAAGATTTGGTTGTATAAGGGTGTGTGGCACCTACCTCCTCCCCCAATCTCTTTGCTCCTGCTCTGGCCATGTGATGTGCCTGCTCCTTCTTTGCCTTCCATCATGAGTAAAAGCTCCCTGAGGCCTCCCCAGAAGCCAAGCAGATGCCATCACCATACTTCCCATACAGCCTGCAGAGCTGTGAGCCAATTAAATCTCTTTTCTCTACAAATTACCTAGCTTCAGGTATTTCTTTCTAGCAATGCAAGAACGGCCTAATAATACAGTGTATATGTACCACATTTTATATATCCAATCCACTGTTCATGGGCACCTAGGGTGATTCCATGTCTTTGCTATTGTGAATAGTAATGTGATGAACATTTAAGTGCAGGTGTCTTTTTGGTAGAATAATTTTTCTTTTGGTTAATACCAGTAATGGAATTGTTGGCTTGAACGGTAGTTCTATGTTAAATTCTTTGAGAAATTTCCAAACTGCTTTCAACAGTAGCTGAAGTAATTTACATTCACACGAATTATGTGTAAATGTTGCCTTTTTTCCACAGCCTCCCAACATCTGTTGTTTTTTAACTTTTTAATAGTAGCTCTTCTCACTGGTGTGAAAGGGTATCCTGTTTTGGTTTTGATTTGCATTTCTCTGACGATTAGAGATGTTAAGCCTAATCTTTGCCACCATAAAGCTGGGAAAATACAGTATTACCTGTGAAAATAAATTGTTTTACTTTGCTTTAGTAAGGGGGGGTTGGTGTCACATACGCGATTAGTAACGGCCACTCGCTTCTTCCCGTCTCTCGCGACTGGTCCTCTCACCTGTCTACTCATTGCGTTCAAATTCTTCAGCGACCACAGGACACCGACTGGCCCTCTCTATCCTGGGTCCCAGCACGCTGCTTTACAGCCTGGCCCGCTCGCGGCCCCTCCACGCCTCTGCCCTACTGTGTCCGCCATCTCCGTCGGGCAGAAACGGGTGCGTTCAAGACCCTCCTCAGACGCCGCCTGCACGATTAGGCTTCCCTGACCCCGGGTCTGTAACTCTTCACCTCCGCCCAAATTCCCACAGCACTCGCGACGTCGGCTGCCCCCGAAGTGGCGCTTAATTCTATTTCAGGGAATAAGAACTGTCGCCAGCCCGCAGCCCCAGCGTGAGGCGGCTGCAGAGCGCGCGCGACAACCCGGTCACTGCAGGCACCGGTGCCTCGGGCGGGCTTTCCTCCCCGCCAGGAGGCGCGAATCCTCAGGGAGCCGCTGCGCGCGGACACCTTTCGGCCCTCTGCGGCCGCCGTAGCTCCCCTCCCTCCCCGGCAAAAAGCCGGAAGCGGAACTCTCAGCGGTTCTGCGTCCGGGTGAAGACCATGGCGGATTCTGGAGAGACGCCTCAGCTCGTACTCTTTCGTACTTAGTGAGGAGTGTTTGCTTCGCCACCACTTCTGCTCCTCCCCGGCCCGCTGCTCCGTGGGAGATACTCGTCCTCAGCCCGCTTCAGCGTCTCAGTGCGGAAGTCTCCTGGAGTCATGGCCGAGTACTCTTACGTGAAGTCGACCAAGCTCGTGCTCAAGGGAACCAAGGCGAAGAGGTGAGCCCTGCAGCTCGGGCTGGAGCCTCCTCAGTTCTTTTCGAACGCACTGCATCCCCGTGAGTCCGGTGGAAGCCGTGGCATGGAGGGCCGGCTTTGTGGCCTCCCAGGCTTCGCCCTGGACCCTGTCCGGGCTGGACGGAGGCTGGGCCGCGGTTCCCGGCGTCTGTGCAGAGACGGGCAGCCTCCCGCCTGGCCGGCCGACCGACCCTGGAAACAGGGTAGAAGGACGGGTGGCCCATAGCCTCGAGTGTGGGTCCCCTGAGGCATCTCCAGGCCTCTGCCTGGTGGGTCTGCATTACTCGATCTCGTAGTTCATGGTAATAACTTCCTTTATTAGGGATTATACTTTTCGCCGTCGTCTCTTTTCTCCGTAGGATAATTAATATTTTCTAACCTAATATGTAGAGTGAAACCAGGATGAATCACACAGTGATTGAGCTGTATGTGGGCTTTGATAGGGATATGGGCTCGAATCTGCACTCTGTATTTCCTAATTTTGTAATTTATGGCACATTGGTTAGTATGTCTGAACTCCCATTTACTCATTTATTAAGTTATCAAATATCTTTGAGCCTCCGTTTACACATTTGTGCTTTTAGAAGATTGTTTGTACTTTTAGAAGACAGTGAGGATTACATGAGAGAACATATGTGCAATGAATAAATTGAGTCAAATTCGAGGAGGAGGTTGTTGTGGTAATTTATTAGCTTTTTAGGGAAAAATGTCTGTGCATTCATATCCCTGCTTCTTTTTTAACTGGTAAATTTGCCAGACGTTGACTGTACATACAAATGTTGAGCATTTCCTCCAGGTCTCCGTGATAAACAGAAGTTTTGATACTTTTAGGCGTCATGGAAAAAAAGTATCAAGGAGTGAGCTGAAGCCACTGCCCTTGAGAACTCTGCCTAGGAGTCTGTCCTCATGAAGATGCTAGAATAAATGGCAGATTTATCCTGAATGAATATCAGATTTTTACTTTATTAATTTCGTGGGAGGAGAGGAGAGTTATCTTCTGAAAACTATGATGAAAATGCAGACAGTGGTGCATTTTTCGTAATGACCATATCGTAGTAATCACAGTTAATGCTTATATAGCACTTTCAGTGTGCCAAGAAATTGTTATAGGCACTTCGCACCTTGACTTTTTTCAAATCGCCCTTGGTTTTTTCTTTTTTTATTTTTTTTAGGGTTAAGATTTTTTTTTTTTTTCTTTCTTTTTTTTATTGCATTTTAGGTTTGGGTACATTTGAAGAACGCGCAAGATAGTTGCATAGGTAACACACATGACGACAATGTGATTTGCTGCCTTCCTCCCCTTCACCTATATCTGGCATTTCTCCCCATGCTCTCTCTCCCCAACTCCCCACCCCCCACTATCCATCCCTGGGTTTTTTCTTTTTTCTTGAGATGTAACTCATAATTATAAAATGTACCCTTTTGTACAGTCAGTGGTTTTTAGTATATATTCAAGAGGTTTCATTATACCATTGCTCAGCATTTTCATCATCCCAGAAGGAAACCTCCTCCTACCCATTAAAGCAGTCACATCTCATCCTCCCTTTCTCCTGGTCCTTGGCAACCACTAATCTGCTGTCTATATAAAATTGCCTATTCTGAATATTTCATAAGAAAGACATAGAATATGTGGCTTCTTGTGTCTGGTTTCTTTGACTTAAAACATTCTTGAGGTTCATCCATGTTGTAGCACTTGTTCCTTTTTATGTCTGTGTAATATTCCATTGTACAGATGTGACACGTTTTGTAGTATCCATTCATCAGTTGATGAACATTTGAGTTGTTTCGACTTTTTGGCTATTGTGAATAATACTAGTATGGATATTATTATGTAAGTATTTTGGGGGCATATGTTTTCATTTCTCTTGGGTATAGATACTTAGGAGTACAATTCCTGGGTCATATGGTGACTCTTTAACTTTTAGAGGAACCCCAAACCGTTTTCTGTAGATGCTGCACCATTTTATATTTCTACCAGCGATGTGTGAAGGCACATATTAGCTCTTACTCCTCACAGTAACCTTAAGAGTTATGTTAAGTTATGATCCTAATTTTATAAGTGGGGAAACTGACTCACGGAGAGATTCATTACCTTTTCCAAAAATCACGGAGCTAAGAAGTGACAAAAACAGGATTTAAAGTCTGGCAGTCTGGCTCCACAGTCTGCTTTGAACTCTAACATGGTATGCATAGAGTCTGAAGCAACTTCTCAGTATGTATTTAAGAGGGCATAGCAATGTAAGTCATCCTAAATCAATAATTTATAAATGAAACAGTTTAAAAGACTTCTAAGCTTCAATCTTGTGATATTTATTTATCATACAAATCGATACACTAAACTCATCTATATAAGTTATGTCCATAGTAAGAAGAAAAAGAGCAAAGAGAAGAGAAAAAGAGAAGAAGATGAAGAAACCCAGCTTGATATTGTTGGTGAGTGAGTTTTCAGCACTCTATTCTGAAAAAAGTTAATGTTTTTTGGGATCTCATTGAAAATATTTTCTTAGAAATTTATGACGTATTCATATTTGTCCTAAAGTGCTTAAATGTTAGCTACAGTTGTAAATTCAGTTTATTCTTTAGCACAGTAGATGCTACTGATGCCTTTACTTCATTATCAGAGCAAAGCACAGGAGAGGAGGATTATAACTCTCTGACTTAGTAGGTACCATTACACTGCTTAATAGCCAGAGATTCTGATATGTAATTTTAAAGGCCTAATGTAAATGTTATTCAACTAAGTATATTTTTAAAAATTATTTTCATTGAACATGTATATATTTTAATTGTAGAAGTCAGTTGTCTCTTAAAGGAAGTATCTTCACAGGAAAAATCATTACTTCATGAACTCTGAAATGAATGAAAATTTTAAATACAACATCAGAGTAACTTCTAATTGATACTGGAAATAAACTGTGTAATAAATAAACCCAAACACACTTACCTAGCTTATTCTCCGTTTAGTACTTTCCATAATTTATAGCACTTTTTTTTTCTCTTTGAAAACTTGGGAAGTTGCATTTTGAATTTTCATAAATTATGGCAACTTTAAAAATATATAAAATATGGAATGTCATAAAGCTAATGTTCTGGAAGAATCATTGTTTTTCAAATGGCAAATCAACAATTCTAAAATTAGGGTAAATGGGGTAGATACGTAGATGTGGAATTGCTGTGTCAAAGGATAGGTGAATGTTTAACTCTGTAAGAAACTGCCAGGAATTTTGTGAACTGGTTTTGTCATTTTACTCTCCCACCAAAAATGGATTACTGCTCCAGTTACATCCTTGCCCGAGTTGCCGGTGTTACAAGTCTTTTCTCCCAGTCTGAGTTTTACCTTTTCAGTTTCTTAATGGTGGTTTTTGGATGTGCAGAAGTGTTTATTTTTATAAAGCTCTGTTTGTTTGTTTATTTTCTTGAGACAGAGTCTCGCTCTGTCGCCAGGCTGGAGTGCAGTAGTGCAGTCTGGGCTCACTGTAACTTCTGCCTCCTGGGTTCAAGCAGTTCTCCTGCCTCAGCCTCCCGAGTAGCTGGGAGTACAGGTGGACACCACCACACCCAGCTAATTTTTGTATTTTGAATAGAGGTTTCACCATGTTAGCCAGGATGGTCTCAATCCCCTGACCTTGTGATCTGGCCACCTCAGCCCTCCAAAGTGCTGGGATTACAGGCGTGTTACTGCTTTATCTTTCTGATCTAAGAGATCTTTGCTTACCCCAAAGTCAGAAAAATATTCTACATTTTCTTTTAGAGGCATCATAGTTTTAGTTTTTACATTAAATCTGTCATTTATCTCAAATTATTTTGGTATGGTGTGGGTTAGGTTTCAAGGTTTACTTTTTTTTTTTTTTTTTTTTTTTTNTTTCAAGGTTTACTTTTTTTTTTTTTTTTTTTTTTTTTTAACATACTGATAGCCAGTTGTTCCAGCACCACTGTTTCCTTTTTCCATTAAACCACTTTGGTTTCTTCATAAAAAATCAATTAACTATCTATGTATTGGTCTATTTCTGGACTCTGTTCTATTGATATATTTGTATGTTTTTCCATTGATGTATTTCTTTTGATTGCTATAATTTCATGAAGTCTTGAGATCAGGTAGTATAAGTCCTCTGAGTTTGTACTTATTAACTATTATCTTATTAATTTCTGCAGTGAAGCCTGTTGCATTTTCTCAGAGAATTGTGTTCAGTCCAGATCATTTGGGGGAGAAGCAACATCTTAATATTGGGCCTCAATATTTCATAGTTTTTAATGTAGTGGTCTTGCATGTTTGTATAAAAATTTATTCTTAAGTACTTTATATTTTACACTACTGTCGGTGGAACTTTTCAATTTGATCTTCCAATTGTTTGCTGTCAGTGTGTAGACATACAATTGATTTTTGTATCGTGACCTTGTAGTCTGAGATGTTAAATTTGCTAATTACTTCTAGTAGTTTGTTTATGTAGGAAACTAAGTAATTTGCAATTATGCTTTCTGTGACTGTTGTTGCACTTCTGTCTTGTCTTTTTTTGCTTTATTATACTGTCCAGGGCCTCCATAGTGTTGAAAAGAAGTCATGAGAATGGGCGTTAATTGCCTTTTTTACAAGCTTAGGCAGAAAGCTTTCAGTAGTCTACCATATATAGGATCTGCAGAGATACCCTTTATCAAAATGAGGATATTCCTTTTAAACTTTGTTTCTTGGGAATTTCTATCATAATGGTGTTTAATACTGTCAGATACCTCTTTCTGTATCTGTTGAGATGATTATACAGCTTTCGTTATTCTACCAGTGGATTGCATTGGTTTCATTTTCATCTTTAAACTAACTTTGTATCCCTAAGATAAACCCCACTTTTGTTGTGATGCATTGTACTTTGGGATAATGCTAGACTTGATTCCTAGGTGTTTTTCTTGTTGTTTTTTGTTTGTTTTTTAAGATATCTATTTTGGTGTTGATGGGAGATACTCAATTTTTTGTTTCCTTTTCTTGTAATGTCTTTATTTGATTTTGGTGTCAAGGTGATACTGGGTGTCATAGAATGAGATGGGAAGTACTCTCTCCTTCGCATTTTTGGAAATAGCTGTTGTGTAAGATGGGTATGATTTCTCCTTTAGATGTGTGATAGAATTCACCAGTGAAATCATCTGGACCTAGAGGGTTTCTTAGGTTTGGTTTCAGTTTTTTTGTGGTAAAATTAATTATTTTATTTATTTATTTTTCTCTTTACTTTAATGTCTGTAAGTTATCTTCAAGTTATTTATTATTTTTGAGACGGAGTCTCACTCTGTTGCCCAGACTGGGGTGGAGTGGTGCAATCTTGGCTCACTGCAACCTCAGTCTCCTGAGTAGCTGGGATTACAGGTGCAGGCCACCACACCTGGCTAATTTTTGTATTTTTACTAGAGACAGGGTTTCACCACATTGACCAGGCTGGTTTCGATCTCTTGACCTGGTGATCCACTTGCCTTGGCCTCCCAAAGTGCTGGGATTACAGGCATGAGCCACCGTGCCCAACTGGGAAAATTAAAAATTTTTTAATAGATATTTTCAGATTTTTCTGTTGTGTTCGTTTTGGTAATTTGTGTCTTTTAAGGAAAATTTTATTTCATCTGAGTTGTTGAATTTATTGGCATAAAATTGTTCAGAGTATTCCTTTCATATCCTTTTAAAGTCTGTAAAATCTGTGTTGCAGTCTCTTTGTATTGGTAATTTGTGTTTTTGCTATTTTTCCCTGGATCAGTCAGTCTAGCTGGAGGTTTACCAGTTTGTTTATCTTTAAAAGAGCATTTATTTTAGGTTATTAATGATCTTTTAGTACAGGGATATTCAGTCTTTTGGTTTCCCTGGGCCACAATGGAAGAATTGTCTTGGGCCGCACATAAAATATACTAATGATAAGCTGATAAAAAAAAAAAAAAAAAAAAAAAAATCTCATAATGTTTTAAGAAAATTTATGGGTTTGTGTTGGGTTGCATTCAAAGCTGTCCTGGGTCAAATGCAGCCCTCATGTTGGGCAAGCGTGTTTCAGTATTTTTTGTTTTCTGTTTTTTTCATTTTCTGTTCCATTTATTTTCAGCCTTTATTTTTTCCTTCCTTTAACTTACTTTCAGTTCACCTTGCTCTTGTTTTATAGCTTCTTAAGAAGAGAGTTAGAACTTTTCATTGCACTTTAGCTTTAGCTGTAGTCAACACATTGTGTTTTCGTTTTCATTCCATTCAAAATATTATCTAGTTTCTCTTGTGATTTTTCTTTTCTTGGACCCATGAGTTATTTAAAAACGTACTGTTTAATTTCTACTGCATAGGGACATATATTGTAGATATGTTATTGTTGCTGATTTCTAATTCACTTATAGTATGGTTGGAGAACATACTTTCTTGGTGAATTTCCATGTACACTTGAAGAGAATGTGTCTTCTGCAGGTGTTGATTCAGTGTTCTTTTTTTTTCTGGAGATGGATTCTTGCTCTGTTTCCCACCAGGCTGGAGTGCAGTGGCACAATCTCAGCACACTGCAACCTCCGCCTCCCAGGTTCAAGTGATTCTTCTGCCTCGGCCTCCCAAGTAGCAGGGATTACAAGCACCCATCACCACGCCCAGCTACCCTTTTTTTTTTTTTTTTTTCATTTTTAGTAGAGACAGGGATTCATCGTGTTTACCAGGCTGGTCTCAAGCTCCTGACCTCAGGTGACCCATCAACCTCGGCCTCCCAAAGTGCTAGGATTACATTCATGAGCCACCTCGCCCAGCCTGTTCGGTCTTTGGATGTCAGTTAGATCAACTGGTGGAGCTCCTGGCTATGCAAATCTTCTGTGTCCTTACTGATTTTTGACTAATCCTACAATGTATTGAGAGTTATGTTAAAATCTGCAGCTGTAATTCTAGATCTGTCTACTTGAGCAGTTTTTATCTTTATTCCTGGTAAATGTCTAGTTAAATTATTTGACCATCCGTATGCTGTCAAGCGTGAGGCTTTGTTTGTTTGTGCTTATTTATTAGGGTTTTGCGTGTAGACTTAGACTGTGACTCCTACTATAGGAAAGGTTCATCCTCGTGGGCCCCAACCACATGTGTTAGGTATACTTGGCAAGTTTTCTCCACTCTGCTGTGTCCCAAAATTGTGTGATCTCTGGGCATCTCCAATCAGCCCTCAGCAGTGCCAGCCACTCTGCAGAGGCCGTGTGGAGTCTGCCTCCTGGGTGCAGTCTCCCAGGCCTTGGCCACAGATCTGCAGAGAACTTTTGCATACTCTTTTGAGTCCTTACCTCTGTGTAGTTCCCTCTATAAACTCCTAACATTTTAGCACTGCAAGACTCTCAGCTCAGTGAGATTGCCTCGTTCTTGGAGGTCTCTGCCTCTCTCCAAGTGATCAAGAAACCCCCATTGGGCAGAAAACTGAAGTGCAGCTGAGATTTCCCTCCTGTGTTTTCCTGGTCTCAGTCCTGTTCTGCCTGTGTTCCAATCCCTGAAAACAGTTTTTTCAGATATTCTATCCAGTTTTCTCATTGGTCCTGGTGGGAGGGCAAGTCTAGGACCTCCCATTTTCTCTTGGGTGGAAGAAGAAATCCTTCTGTGTCTTTTTCTCTTTGTCCTTCCACCTTCTTTTGCATTGTGGATTTTCCAAACTTGCCATATAAGTAGGCATGTGCCTATTTTTAAAAGGAAAGAAAAAAAAAATTTTGGGGCTGGGTGCAGTGCGCCTGTAATCCCAGTACTTTGGAAGGCCGAGGAGGGCAGATCACCTGAGGTCAGGAGTTCGAGAACAGCCTAACCAACATGGCAAAACCCCGTCTCTACAAAAAATACATATATTAGCCAGACACGGTGGTAGGCACCTATAATTTCAACCTCTTAGGAGGCTGAGGCAGGAGAATGAGTTGAACTCGGGAGGTGGAGGTTGCAGTAAGCCAGGATTGCGCCATTGCACTCCAGCCTGGGCGACAGAGCGAGACTCCATCTCAAGAAAAAAAAACTTTTAATTTTTTAAAGTTGTTCTGTTGGTTCTTCACAAGGATCTGAAGGGATTGGTAAGTAAGATGAAAGAAATTCTCTTTCACATGGAAAATACCAAATGTGACGTTAATAAAAAAAAAAAAAAAAAAAAAAAAAGAGCATACCTGTAAGGAAAGAGTTTCCCTGAGCTCTACTAGATTAAGAAGCAATTGAACTTACAATATCGAAGTTTGCAAAACACATATTTTATTTACCCAGGAACTAAAGCTAAGTAAGCTCTGGGTTAGCAGAAGGTCTGTGAAGGGTACTTAGACTACGGTAAGACTGGATAGGAAAATTCCACTTCCAAATCTAAGATACATCATCCCTTTGTGCCAAGTACATAACAAACATAGAAGATTAAAGGGGGCCCTTAGCTCAGAAGCACTAGGTCTGTCAGAAGCTGAGGTGAGCTGTCACAGAGGGTTCATGCAAGAAGTAGGGTGCCATGGTACTACCTTACCAGCTGTGACACTGGTACATCCAGCCATTTGGCTTTTTGTTGGGGGGGGGGCAGAAGGGAGGGAGAGGGTCTCACTTTGTTGCTCGAGCTGGAGTGCAGTGGTGTGATCATGGCTCAGTGCAGCCTTGACCTCCCAGGCTCAAGCAGTCCTCTCACCTCAGACTCCCAAGTATCTGGGACCACAGGCTTGTAGCACCATACCCAGCTAATTTCTTTATTTTTTATAGAGATGGGTGTCTCTCTTTGTTGCCTAGACTGGCCTTGAACTGCCTGGCTTAAGTGATCCTCCTGCCTCAGCCTCTCTCAAAGTGCTGGGATTACAGGCATGCCAGACATATGGAAACATAAATCTGGTTCCTACCCCCCCAGAGTTTATATTCTAAATGATTAAGTACAAAAGTATAGTATGTGAAAAGCTTTGTTATGCATTTTGAGACAACACAGCAGGAATATTTGACCATCTGCCTAAGGTTTAAAAGGAAATAACTTTAAGCATGTGTCTAAATAGCAAGTAATGTTTTAGAATGCATTCTCAGATTCAGCTTAGGCATCTGCAGCATATAGACAGCTTGAGCAATAACCTGACTTAGAGACAGACAACTTCAGTCCCCACTGTTCTTAGTATCCCCTGCTTTTTCACAGCTAAAACCTCCCACAGCAGCACTGGTAAATGTTATGTTACTTTAGTCATTAAACATGCAAGTATACTTCCAAGGGTTGAATGTAGGCAGTGCACTACAGAAGATAGGCAGAATAGCTCACATGTAATTTGTGATGATACCATGTTTCGCTTTCTTATTCTTTGAAATCCAATTGAGACGAAATACTGGCATCTGCTCAAAGTAATTTCTTTTTCAGTTCACAATTTTATAAGTAATGTCATTATATTATTTCCCTACTTTGACAGAGTGTGAAAATTTGAGGAGCTTGTCTGCCAGGAATTTCTTCTTCATTTGCAAAACATTAATGAGATATTATATTTAAATGTTTTAATTTAATATTAAGAGTACTTGGTCAACCTTGAATGGAACGTACAAAATACAAATAATTTAAAATCATTAAGTATTCCATTTGTAAGAAAGACTTGCTAATTATAACTGCTTATAATGATTCTGAATAAAGCATTTTTTTTTTTACTGAAAACAGTTGTAGCTATAAGACAACTCAAATAATCATCTAACTTGCTCATTAGTTTTATTGCTAATAGTCTTTAGCTGAAATTTTAATTTTGATTAATTTTCTTTCCATTGGTTTTGTGTGTGGGGGGGTAAAATATACAGAATATAAAATTTGCCGGTTTTTCTATTTTTAAGTGTACACCTCAGTGGCATTTAAATACATGCACCATTTTACTTTCCCACCAGCATTGCATAGGGTTTCAGTTTCTCCACATCCTGCCCAACATTTTTTTTGCAGCTTTTCTAATGGGTGTGAAGTGGTATTGTATTATGATTTTGATTTACATTTCCCTAGTGTCTAGTGATGTTGAGCGTCTTTTCAAGTGCTTATTGGCCAATAGCGTATCATCTTTGGAGCAAAGATGATACACTATTGTGTATCATCTGTGTACTTTCTTTGCCCAGTTTTAAATTGTGGTATTTGTCTTTTTGAAGTTCTCTATATATTCTGGATATTAATTCCTTATAATGGATGTAGTTTACAAATATTTTCTCCATTCTCTGAATTGCCTTTTACTCTGTTGACAGTGGTTCTTGATGCACATAAGTTTTTAATTCTGATGAAGTCCAGTTTGTTTATGTTTTCTTTTGTTGCCTGTGCCTTTGATATCCTATGCAAGAAATCACTGCCAAATTCATTGACATGAAGCTGTTTTCTTCTAAGAGTTTTCAAACTTTAACTCTTACCTTTAGGTCTTTGGTTTATTTCAAGTTACTTTTTGTATTTGGTGTTAGGTAAGGGTCCAACTTCATTTTAGCTAAAACTTTATGTATTTTTAAATTTATTATGAAAAGCACAAATTGTTTAGTTGAATGGAAAATTTTGTGCAGTGAAATTAACTCAGTTTTTAAAACCTTTTTATTATGGAAATATCCAAACGAATACATACATAGAAGAATATAATGAGTCTCCCATGTACCCATGCCCCCAGCATTAATTATCAATAGTTTGCCAATCTCATTCCATTTACATATACCCACACACACACACATACTTTTTTCCTAGAAAGTTTTAAGTTAAATCATAGGTGTTATCTCATTTTACCCGTAAGTACATAAATGCAAAGTTGTTAACGTGTATTTACATTAACATTCTCTCATTATCTGTTTTGTTCTTTATTTTTATGTGTTATAACATGCCATTATCAGACCTGGCAAAGTTAAGAATTCTGTAATATCCAGTTAACAACTGACTCATTTTTACTCTACCTAAGTACAATTTAGGAGGAGATTTGAGGCTCTTTTTTAACATTAAGATATAAACATTTTTAACAACTGCTTAAATAATTGTTCCCTAGAGTCCAACATGTTTATTGGTAAATTAGAAATTAAGTTTACATAGACATAGATTCTGCTCATTTTGCTTTCCATCTAAAATCATAGTTAAGATTACTATGCTGGAAAGTCTTCCTGTAGGGAATTTCTAAGAAACAGATTATAATAGGCATTTTCTCTGGAAGTAGGCATGAATAGATGGCTGGGGTCTATAGTGAGAGAGACCATTCTCCGTGTATCACTTTGTACCTTCACACGTTGCCTTTTTTTTTTTTTGAGACAGGACCTTGCTCTGTCACTCAGGCTAGAGTGCAGTGGCATGATCATAGCCCACTATAATGACCTCCTGAACTCAAGTGACCGTCTTACCCCAGCTCCCCGAGTAGAGTAACTGGGGTTAGAGCATGCACCACATGCCCGACTGTGTGTTGCTATTTTGTATTTTAAAAAGAACCGAATCCTGACTGTGCTGGTAGTCACATGAATCTGTGCACATACATGCAAGCAAGTACATGTAAAACTGGTGAAATCTGAGTAAGGTTCATGGATTTTATCAATGTCAATTTCCTAATTCTAACAGTGTATGATAGTTATGCAAGATGTCATCATTGAGACAAAGTGAGTAAAGCATATGTGAGATTTTGATATTATTTCTTATGACCGCAAAATAAAAAGTTTTTAAAACTTAAGTTATAAAAAAAAAAAACCCTTTCAGAACTAAAATGTAAAGTTTAAATATTGATTTTATTTTTTAGGAATCTGGTGGACAGTAACAAACTTTGGTGAAATTTCAGGAACCATAGCCATTGAAATGGATAAGGGAACCTATATACATGCACTCGACAATGGTCTTTTTACACTGGGAGCTCCACACAAAGAAGGTTTGTGCCTGGAAGGGTAGAGGCTGCCACAAGTGTAGATTTTGTGACATTCACTTAGGCCAAACTCTAACTAGTCTCAAACATTTTCCGAAGGAATGGAGCCATTGCATTTGACTCACCCATTTTTTTGTCCTTCCTTAATATTTACAGCCACTGGCAAGTCCCTCTTTCTAATATAAGCCTTTGAAAACATTCTGTATGGTCCCAGAAGAGTCTCTTTGGAAGTCAAAACAACATGAATAATTAAAATAGCAAGGGGAAGGACAAAGAAAATCTGCTTGAGTCAAAATGTTTGCGTTTCTTTTTTATTCAGACCTGTTGCCACAGCTAACGTGTGTGCATTTAACAAGTTGAAGTTGTCTCATTTTTTTAGCCCATTAGAGAAAGCACTAATGAGATATGAAGTAATTAGAAGATAAAAAGCGGTGTCAATTGGTCAGCATGGCTACCCTTGAATAAATGAAAACATTTAGCTTTTTAAGTAAGTGCTTATTTATGACTGTATTTTAAAACATAGAGAAGATATCTTGGAAATTACTAAATAAGCATTAGGTCAGCCTGTCTGCTTATATATTCAGTATATAAAAGTTGGCACTATAGTTGAAATAAGTTAAATAGATCTTGATTCCAAGGATACAGTATTACAGTGACATCAGAATAGCTGAATATTCTTACATTTAATTGCAGAAGAAAACTACATTTTTTAAAAACAAAATAATGTCTTTATGTCTATATTTATAGCAAATGTCAAATTTATTCTCAAATGTTTTTTTCTCCAATAGTCGATGAGGGCCCTAGTCCTCCAGAGCAGTTTACAGCTGTCAAGTTGTCTGATTCCAGGTGAGCTTATGTTGTACTGTAATTAGTAACCAGTTATTTTAAAAATTTAATTTTATTTATTAAAAATGTTATATCTGTCTTACTTAAGCCCACAGAGTAATTTTGATATAAAAAACAAAATGACTTTTTGGAAAAGTAGATTTTGTGATCTAGTTTTCGTAGATTTCCTATCAATATGTAATGGTAGTCTGGGAAAAAAGTATGTAAGTTTAAAAAATGAAGATTAATAATTTCACAGACCAAATAGATTAAAAAAGGAATCAAACAATACAAAACCTGGTTCACTGTTGCTATGATAATTTAAAGTCACTGCTCGGAAGTCCAGGGACATACAGGGATATTGTTGAAACCAGCATAAAGTGTTACAGAATCATAACGACCAAAAAAATATTTTTACGCACTATTTTTACAGTCATTTTATAAGGTAACCTTTTTTATTCTCACATTGTGCAAAAGTATAGAATGATTCTTTGGGTAGAAGATACTGAAATTGAGTTTATGGTATTTTAGTAATTGGTTACATCAATATGACAATGATTTCTATTATATTATCATTAATATATAAAGGAGTAAAAGTTAATTCTGGCATCACAGGAGATTCTTGGTAAGGTAAAAGATTAGAATTTATAATTTTTTAAAAAATCATGTTAAGATGAGTATTTCTATACTTCCTTTGAAAGTCTGATGTATGGTAAAAGACAAAGAATAAGAGCAGAGGAAGAAAAAATTCAATAGAACTGACAAATCGGGGAATTTCTGCAACTACCTTAATAGGCAGTGAGTTCTTACTCTTCATAAGTATGTACAGAATTTATAGCACCCCATCAGACCCCAGTAGAAACCTTGCAAACAATAAGAACTCAGTAGAAAAATGCACGAGGGATATGACCAGATAATCTAAAAACCAAAAAGGAAAGAAAAGTAAAAACAATTGTTAGTCTAGTTTATTACTAAAATGCAAATTAATAGGATACTGATTTTTCCATATCAGGTTTTTAAGTTTTTTAAAAAGTCATATTGTTTAAACAAATCCATGATACAAAACATACTCTCTTAATTTGAGGTAAGAGTGTAAATTGAAACAGCATATCCTGGAAAACAGTTTGATGATATAACTTTATACCCTTCGATCCAGTTATTTCCTTCTTAGGAATTTTTTCTAAGGATAAATCAGCAGTTTTATGTACAGAATAGATATAAATAGAACTATTTAAAAACAAAAAGTAAATTTTAATAATTATTGAACATTTCTAACCATTTAAAGAGGTGTAATTAAAGAATGATGAATTGGGAAAATGTTTGCCATGCAATATGTAAGGTATAATGTTTATATTAAATAAGCAAAACATAAAACTGTAAATATATAACTGCACTGTCCAATATGGCAGCAACTTCAGATGTAGCTTTTTTATTTATTTTTTTTTTTAAGAGATAATCCCACTCTGTCACCCACGTGGGAGTGTAGTGGTGTGATAGTAGTTCACCATAACCTCAAACCTCTGGGCTCAAGGGATCCTCCCGCATCAGCCTCCCAAGTAGCTGGTATTACGTGCACGCCACCATGCCCAGCTAATTTTTTTAGTTTTCTGTAGAGATGGGGGCCTCACTATGTTGTCCAGGCTGATCTTAAACTTCTTGTTTCAGGCAGTTTTTCCATTGGTCTCACAAAGCACTGAGCTTATAGGAGTGAGTCACCACTCAGCCACATGCAGCTTTTGAATACTTAGAATATGTCCAGTCTGAAATTTTAGATATGTACACACCCCACACATACACATGCCCTGTTTTGATATTCTTTAATTTATTTTCTTTCTCTCAGCTTTTAACTTTTATCTATCTTATTAATGTACAGAATTGCCCTGAAATCTGGCTATGGGAAATATCTTGGTATAAATTCAGATGGACTTGTAGTTGGGCGTTCAGATGCAATTGGACCAAGAGAACAATGGGAACCAGTCTTTCAAAATGTAAGTGCTGTTACTGTTCATAAAAAATTCCTGTCAGTTTAACAGAAAGTCTGTGACCATCAATGGTAATATATTTAAAAAGAAAAAGTAGGATGCAATAGTGTAATGCATTAAATTGGAAAAAAATCAGTAAGAACGTATAGCCTTAAAGAGAAATCAAAAAATAGTGCAACAAAAACAGCATTAGTACTTTTGTCCACGATTATTTCTGTATACCTTTAGTTCCTAGATGTGGGTCTCATTTCCATTAAAGAACCAGTCAATTTTAGGTCTCGGGGTAGGAAACCAGAATAGTTCCTAAGTATCTTCTTAGTAGCAGAAATCATGGATGCTTTCAGAAACTAAATTAGAGACTGTATGCAAGCAATGGAGCAAGCTAAGACCAAGTTGTGACAATTTATGTGTAAAATAAATAATATAGCTCATTGAAGTAAATTATCTCTAAAAGACTTCCAGTTCATAAGCTTAAAATTGTGTACAAAAAAATAGTTTTACTATAAAAGAAGAAAAAAATAATGTATTAATTATTAATTGTATTAAGTAGGCAGCTGTAGGATGTGGATGTTTTGTCAAATCTTTGTTGATGGCCAGGTGCAGTGGTTCACACCTGTAATCCCCACACTTTGGGAGGCCAAGGTGGGTGGATCACGTGTGGTCGGGAGTTCGAGACCAGCCTGACCAACATGGAGAAACCACGTCTCTACTAAAAATACAAAATTAGCCGGGTGTGGTGGCACATGCCTGTAATCCCAGCTACTTGGGAGGCTGAGACAGACGAATCACTTGAATCCGGGAGCCAGGAGATTGCAGTGAGCCGAAATCGTGCCATTGCACGCTAGCCTGGAAGACGAGCAAAACTCCATCTCAAAAAAAAAATAAAAATCTTTGTTGATACAGAATGTATAATTTGCTTTTTCTGTTTGTGTAAGAAGTAAAGATTGAACAGAAATACGTGAGTGCTAAATAGCCTTTTAAAAGTAGATAACTATGTCAAAAACAGTAAGGACCAGTGGGCACCACGAAACAGACAAATAGAAGATAAGCTCAGCCTTGAGTAGCAGGTTTGGTAGTCTACAATAATGAATTGAAAATAGGAACTCATGAGTGTTTTCCAAGATGACAAATTGAACAAACATCCCCCCCCCCAAAAGAGCTACTCATTTAGACTCATTTCCCCTAGTGTAAAATCTTAAGTCAGTGACTTTGAAACTGTTTTGACCCCAACCCATTGAGAAATGCATTTTTTACATTGCAGCCCAGCACACAGTTAACAATTCTTACTTATCCATGTGTTATGCACCTTGATATTTCTTCTCTTTTATCCCTTCCTCCTTGTGTATTTCTTTTTTTTTTTCCCCAATACTGTTCAGGAACCACTAAATTGATTTCATGACCCACTAATGTGTTGCAACCCCTTTGAGATGATCCTACTAGTTATGATGAGATACTTATAATAAAAATATGCCAGTAGAAAAGTCCAATATATCATAAGGCCAGGATGATGAGTTAGATAGTACTAATAATACAACACTTTAGGAAAGTTCATTTCATTTATTTTTAGGAAGGACACTAAGTTTCCAAAATTTAAATTTAAATGAAAGAGGCACTTAAAACTGTATTGCAAAAAGGGACTCAGCCGAATAATCTGCAGCACAGGTTTAAATGGCCTTGGGCCATACAGCCATGTTCCACGGCTCATCAGGAGCCATCCAGATGAGAGAGAACCAGCCCTTGCCGCCTTGACTAAGAAATTAAACTCACATTATCAGCACTTTTTTAACTGGATGTCATGTAAGGTTAACGTATTCTGTAATTGTATTCGTTAATATTTTCTCTGAACGTTATGGTATTTTAAGTTTTCCAAAAGAATCAACCAAATAATTATAACCAAATAATTATAACCAAAAGTTATCATTAAACATTATATTTGTTAAGGGAATTAAGTTAACCAAATTTATAACCCAGCTTTAGATACACAAGAAAATTAGTTTTTAAAGCTTTAATAGAAAGCAGTGTAATACATCAAACATTAAAACAACTAAAAAAGTATACGAATATTTATTTTCACACGCAGAAGTCCCTCAGACATTGATTCTTAAATTTAAAGGCACCAAAGGCATCTTATATATCTTTTCATGTTTTCTAATTATGAGGAACATAAATTTTCCTTAAAATGCTAATATTTTAATAAAGTATTATGCAGTAGTAATTATGTTTTTGTCTCTAAAGTTAATTTTTCAAACTAAACTAAATCAGTTATAGTTTCAGTAAGTTTTTTAGAAAGGAGGTGATCCTACTTCATCTAATTAGAATTTAGTCCTACTAAAAAGATACACTAAAAATGTTTATTGTGATAATCTTTGAATTTTAAAATGATAGGTGATTTTGGTTTCCTTTTCTATATGTTCTTATATTTTGTTCAAGTTTTCTCTAAGTTCTTTTCCTTGACTTTTAAATCAGGAAGGAAAAATTAATTCAGTATAAACAACGTTTCTTCCACAAGTATTCTCATGGCTCTATTTTGTTATTTTGTTTCACTTAGGGGAAAATGGCTTTATTGGCCTCAAATAGCTGCTTTATTAGATGTAATGAAGCAGGGGACATAGAAGCAAAAAGTAAAACAGCTGGAGAAGAAGAAATGATAAAGGTAATGACATTTTTATACAGATGACTGCATTTCACACATGATGTGACTATATCTCTAAAATGTTAAATCGTCAATTACTGTCACTTTAAAGATTTAATTAATAGTTTTTTATAATGTGTTTCAAATAGACTCATTTTTAATTATAAATTTAGCAATTGATGGCTTGTTTGTATAATGTGATAGAGAAATCACTGCATCTATGAGCCACCTTGCCATTATCTCCATGTATTAGTATCTTTTTCTGAATACATGCCCTTTTTAGGCTTGCATTTTCTTGTTTTCTTGCTTGTATTCTAAAATTGAATTTTTAAAATAGATACTATGTACACATGGTTCAATATTTTAAAATAAAAACATATAAAGATATATGCCTGCCGTGCATCTTACTCAAACTGCGTCCCAGCTCCTGTTCTTATCTCTTTCCGTTTGTTTTTTTACAGCCTCCTAAAATTTTTTATAAACATGAATATGTTTATAATTTTCAACTGTTTTACAACAAAGGTAGCCTCCTCTATAGTCTTCTAGACTTTGTTTTTTTTTTCTTTAAAATTTTATCTTGGAGAGTTTTCTCTTACTTTGAATGTAAGTAGTTCTCTTTTTCTCTCTTTCCCTGTCTCTTTTATTAATAGCTACATAATATCCCATTTTAGGAATGTACCTTAATTTATTTAATTAGTCTCTTACAGATGGAAATTTAGGCTGTTTCCAGTCTTTTGCTCTTATAAACTGTGCTACAGTGCATACATAACATTGAATATGCATTAATTTATAGAGTGCGAGTGGGCCAGAAGATAAATTTCCAGAAGCAGAATTACCAGGTCAAGGGTATATGCATTTGTGTTTATGTTATGCTTGAGCTTCCATGATGATAATCACTCTCTGGAAGATCGAAAAAAATCGTAGCAGAACTTTTGGGGCTTTAGCCCTCAAATGTTTTTATATTTTTATTAATAGTATGACTTTTCTTTGCATTAGGAGGAACACAGATCACATAAAATATGATTTTTATTTATTTATTGGTCATTTTATTTTTATTTTCTTCCTTTTTTTTTTTAATTGCATTTTACGTTTTGGGGAACATGTGAAGAACATGTGAGATTTTTGCATAGGTACACACATGGCAGTGTGATTTGCTACCTTTCTCCACATCAGCTATATCTGGCATTTCTCCCCATGCTATCTCTCCCTAACCCCCCACCTGTTTCCCTCCCCTGTTTCCCCCCGACAGACCCCAGTGTGTGATGCTCCCCTCCCAGTGTCCATGTGTTCTCATCATTCGATACCCACCTATGAGTGAGAACATGCGGTGTTTGATTTTCTGTTCTTGTGTCAGTTTGCTGAGAATGATGGTTTCCAGTTTCATCTATGTTTCTACAAAGGACATGAACTCATCGTTTTTTATGGCTGCATAGTACTCCATGGTGTACATGTGCCACATTTTCCCTGTCCAGTCTATCATCGATGGGCATTTGGGTTGGTTCCGAGTCTTTGCAGTAAACAGTACTGCTATGAACATTCGTGTGCATGTGTCCTTATAATAGAAGGATTTATAATCCCTTGGATATATACCCATTAATGGGATTGCTGGGTCAAATGGCATTTCTATTTCTAGGTCCTTGAGGAATCGCCACACTGTCCTCCACAATGGTTGAACTAATTAACACTCCCACCAACAGTGTAAAAGTGTTCCTATTTCTCCACATCCTCTCCAGCATCAGTTGTATCCAGATTTTTTAATGATCGCCATTCTAACTGACATGAGATGGTATCTTAGTGTAGTTTTGATTTGCATTTCTCTAATGACCGGCGATGATGAGCATTTTTTCATGTTTGTTGGCCTCATATATGTCTTCTTTTGTAAAGTGTCTGTTCATATCCTTCGCCCACTTTTAAATGAGCTTGTTTTTTTCTTGTAAATCTGTTTTAGTTCTTTGTAGATTCTGGATAGCAGCCCTTTGTCAGATGGGTAGATTGCAAAAATTGTTTCTCATTCTGTTGGTTGCCGATTCACTCAAATGACTGTTTCTTTTGCTGTGTAGGAGCTGTGGAGTTTGATTAGGTCCCATTTGTCTATTTTGGCTTTTGTTGCCAATGCTTTTGGTGTTTTGGTCATGAAGTCCTTGCCTACGCGTATGTCCTGAATAGTTTTGCCTAGATTTTCTTCTAGGGTTTTTATGGTGTTAGGTCTTATGTTTAAGCCTTTAATCCATCTGAAGTTAATTTTAGTGTAAGGTATCAGGAAGGGGTCCAGTTTCTGCTTTCTGCACATGGCTAGCCAGTTTTCCCGACACCATTTATTAAACCAGGGAATCCCTTCCCCATTGCTTGTTTTTTTCAGGATTGTCAAAGATCAGATGGTTGTAGATGTGTGGCATTGCCTCTGAGGCCTCTGTTCTGTTTCATTGGTCTATATCTCTGTTTTGGTACCAGGACCATGCTGTTTTGATTACTGCAGCCTTGTAGTATAGTTTGAAGTCAGGTAGTGTGATACCTCCAGCTTTGTTCTTTTTGCTTAGAATTGACTTGGCTATGCAGGCTCTCTTTTGGTTCCATATGAAGTTTAAGGTGTTTTTTTCCAGGTCTGTGAAGAAGGTCATTGGTAGCTTGACGGGGACAGCATTAAATCTGTAAATTACTTTGGGCAGTATGGCCATTTTCATGATATTGATTCTTCCTAATCATAAGCATGGAATGTTTCTCCATCTGTTTGTGTCCTCTCTTATTTCGTTGAGCAGTGGTTTGTAGTTCTCCTTGAAGAGGTCCATTACATTCTTTGTTAGTTGTATTCCTAGGTATTTTATTCTCTTTGTAGCAATTGTGAATGGCAGTTAGTTTTTGATTTAGCTCTCTCACCACTCCTATTTGATTTTTGTTTTTATTTTATTTTAAAAATGTTTGTGTGACACCAAGCTGGAAACAGAAGCTCCTTTTTCCAGGGTACATACCCTAATCTTACACTTTGTTTTACATCATTTTAAAACTTTCTTAGACATCTGCATATTAAGATGAAATTTTAAATAATAATGTTAATATAACTAGATAAATCAGGTAGTTAACTGGAATTTGATGAAGACATTTAAGGCTTAATATTTTAGACTCTCAAAAGCCACTGATCATTAATGATAAACATATACCAGGGTGTATCTAAAGAATAACTCCCACCTTCTTGACACATGGCTTTTGTTTTTCTTAGCATTTTATCCCAGTAGTGAGCATCCTGAACCATGCTTTGTTTGGCTACATTGGGAAACAGAGGTTGTATCCAATCTGACCCAGATTTGCTGTGTAAGGCAGTGTGGGGGCCAGGGTTGAAGGCTCTAAGAGATGGGGGAAATGCCTTTTCAAAAATGCCCCTCATTCCTGTAATTAGAGCATAAGCATTTATATTACATTTTTCTCTATTACCAGTATAATTTAAAAGCATCTATCAAATGTTTGTACGTGCTTCCTGTGTTTGATTTTCTTATTAAAATATTCTTGATTTCAAATAATTTCAATTCTAAAAGTCAAACAATTTTATTCTATAATTTAGATATTTTCTTACAGCTAGAGAAGTGAAATGTTAATTTTTTCATTGCATGCATCTGGCACATGTGTTGTTGTCTTGAACCTCCATAATGCTCCTGTGAGGTGGATATGAGCTCATCATTACAGACGAGAAGACAGTCTCTGACCCTCCTTACATCCTCATGGTTTTTGTCAGTTAGTTCCTAGGTGTGGTAAAGACAGGATGTGTACCCAGGCCCCGCTGGCTCCAGAAGCAGCTCTCAACATTTCATAGCACATTGCTTCTCAGGAAAGAGGTCATTGGGAAAATGCAGATGGGTTTGTGACTTACATTTAATTTAATTTATTTATATTTTATTGTATCATGTTTAAATTATCTTTCATCTGGATATTCTCACAAAAGTGTTATTGAAGGCAAGAGTTGGAAATATATGTACAGTGCTTTGCACTTACACAAAGATGCTCTATTGCGTTTTTCACTTATTAAGCAGTTTTTAGAGGAAATACAAAGTTTGCTTTATCTCTTTGGTTAGTCAAGTACCTGGAATCTCTGAACAGTGATTATTTAGAACTCTCTTCCTTACTTGCAGCCTCTCTTAATCTCTGTCAGCCGTTCACCTTTATGACCTTGCCTTATCGACCAGAACACAGATCCCTATTACTAAAAGTAGCATTGTGTTACGGGCCCTAGCAGGGAATGTTTTCAGGTCTTCTAGGACCCCTCTAATCAAAACTGTCACAAAGATGTCATTGGCACAAACACGTTATTTGTCATCACTTCCTAAGCAGTCCTGGAATTAGACTCTGGCCACAGAGATCCCTTAGGAGACGTGAGTCCTTATCATTGCCAATTGCCTGTTCTGTGTGTGATCCTAGTTGTTGAATGCAGATCAACTAACTTATGACATATAATTGGATAGATAGTAAATATCCAAACTTAGGAGGATATAAGAGGTTTGTAAAAGAAGTCGGTTCTAATTAAGTAAAAATAAGTTGTGTAATGTTGAAAGTTTGAATATATTTGGTAATAGTCTGTGCACAGTAAAATAGCTATCTTAAGTTTTCAATCTGATAAAATGAACACTTCTCTGCTAGGGATAATTTCATAAGGACAAAATTAGTTAAATGCTTGTTTTATTGCTCAGCAAGATCTGATCTGCAAAATGTTTTTTAAATAATTTTATCTTTAGTGTTTCTGACACAAAGGCTGCAGAGGAGGCATATGATAGCAGTTACTTAAGATTATATATCTGAAGTAAAAACACATAGCTAGAACCTGTCCTTGTCTGAATATAATTGCTCGGTTAATTTTTTTCTCTTGCATAAGAAATCACCTTTAATGTTCTTATGTAATACGTAAAGTGGGGAAGGTGGTAGATAAACATTGGATTCTCTTTTCCAATATCTAGATTAGATCCTGTGCTGAAAGAGAAACCAAGAAAAAAGATGACATTCCAGAAGAAGACAAAGGAAATGTAAAACAATGTGAAATCAATTATGTGTATGTATTCTTTTTCTTTTAGACCCACAAATTTGACAGTGAAGTGCTTTTCAATGTGCTTTCAAAATAAATAGTTAGGTGGGGATGGTGGTGCATGCCTGTAGGCCCAGCTACTCGGCAGGCCGAGACCGAGGATAGTTTAAGCCCAGGAGTTCAAGGCTGAAGTGAGCTCTGATCACCACTGCATTACAGCCTGGGTGACAAAGCAAGACCTGTCTGAAAAAATTAAAACTGTGGGACAAGAAGAGGCAGCACAGTGTAGCCTCTAGAACAGAGCACTGAGCTAAACGCTTTTCTCAAGGCTTCAGCTTTCCCAGTCATCCTACCAGCTCTCAAAGCTAAAGTCACTTGGGTTAGTCAATCATAGAATGGCTGTGATGCCGGTCAAAGACTGTGCTACGGCCAGGACAAAGGGGACTCCAGCCAGCATGCCCTAATAGCAGTGGAGCCTTGTGGTGCTACCCAGTCAATGAGTGGTCCTCCTCTTGAAGGGTGATGAAGGTCATCTTTGTCGTTGAAAAGCTACAGCTTATTAAAAACCTACAATTAGACTTTTTTAATAAGTGAAAAAGAAATTGAGAGTGTTTAAAAATTTAATAGTAAATATGTATAATCAGAGCTTGAAGTATTTTCCAATGAACATCTTCTTTACAGAAAGAAATTTCAGAGCTTCCAAGACCACAAACTTAAAATAAGTAAAGAAGACAGTAAAATTCTTAAAAAAGCTCGGAAAGATGGATTTTTGCATGAGACGCTTCTGGACAGGTAGATATTTATTGACTTATTTCCAGCTATTTTCAGTAGCCAGTAGAAATGGCATGTAGAAAACCTGTGTTCTCTTAAATTACTGTAGTTTTCACATTTTTGTCTTTATTTCTAATTTATGAATGTGGCAATATTACCTGGAGAGGACATCGTAAGTCTGGGGAAAGACTGTCAAGAAAGAACTTGTAAAAATTGTAACTGATTCTAAGTATACATTAAGAAATTCAGGTTTGATTGTATCTGCTTCATAAATTTGTTACTGTCTTTTTATAACTATTAGAACCAGAGTTAGAAGGAAACAGTTTGACTAATATAAAAATTCTGTAGATTCTGTTAGAGTAATTGTTTCCTTAAAATAAGAATAGATCAACTGAAAAACTAAGTTATAAAAGCTAAACAAGTGAAATTGAAGCAGTTTTATTGTAAGATTTGGAAGTGTACAGGATGTTTATCGTAGTACCTTGTTAATATTTATTACCCTTCCTATGTAGATAAGTAATGTCCTAGATTTACAACATAGAGGTAGAAATGATTAGCTGTGACTGTACAAGTATAAATCAATTAAGTGCCAGATTTTGATAATCACCAGCCACTCATTCAAGTCCTGTGTTGCAAAGTTACTTTCAGCCTTTTTTTATGTTACTTGGTAAAGGGAATGTTTAATTATATATCTCCTATTAACTAGTTGGTAGAGTTCATACCTAAAGTCAGTAAATAATGTTAAGAATTTTTTCCAGCCGGGCGCGGTGGCTCAAGCCTGTAATCCCAGCACTTTGGGAGGCCGAGGCAGGTGGATCACGAGGTCAAGAGATCGAGACCATCCTGGTCAACATGGTGAAACCCCGTCTCTACTAAAACTACAAAAAATTAGCTGGGCATGGTGGCGTGTGCCTGTAATCCCAGCTACTCAGGAGGCTGAGGCAGGAGAATTGCCTGAATCCAGGAGGCGGAGGTTGCAGTGAGCCGGGATCGCGCCATTGCACTCCAGCCTGGGTAACATGAGTAAAACTCCGTCTCAAAAAAAAAAAGAGAATTTTTTCCAGCTGAGCAAATGAATATGTACCTAGTTCTAAGAAATCAAGAAGTTATAAAATACAGTCAGGAAGTAGAGTCTAAAACAGAATAAGCTCTCCTTATAATTTTGATCGCCTGCAATAATACAATATTGTCACTCTGTTAAATGGAAATTTAGAGGACACTTAAATTCAGAAATAACTAAAATTGTTATTGTGGATTGAAAAAGCCTTTAGGCAACATTTACTGAATATTAGGAAATAACTTTTATAAGATTAGAATCCATTTTTTATAGAAACCAAATTTAAAAGTATGCATATTTTAATGTAAGTGTTGTAGTAATAAACCAAAATTGAGCACGCAGTTTTAAAGCCTTTTACATTTAGTAGCAGTTGAATATATATGGCATGTTTTACATAGATTAATTTTATTATTTTTCTTTGTTTAAATAGGAGAGCCAAATTGAAAGCTGACAGATACTGCAAGTGACTGAGATTTTTGTTTCTGCCTTACCTTTTTGTGTTTTTTTTTTTCCTGAATAAAATATTCAGAGGAAGTGCTTTTACAGAGTTCTTGAGTTGTTGTGAAATTGTTGTTTAACTAGTAGCTAGTTGAACCAGGATTAAACAAGTTTAATCAAGATTTTTCATGGATGTACTTTTTAGCTGACTACAGGTTTTCACATGGAAATGAAATTTACAGTACACACTTAACGTACCACAGAATTTTTTTCTGGATTTCCTGTCCTGAAGCATGAAGTGTATTAGTCTAAGAAATCAGTTCTTCCTGTGTTCCTTGTGGAACCTGTCATATTTCATCGTAATCTTACTTGATACAATAGATGCTTCATCAGAGACTTTAAGGAAGTTAGAAGTTCCCAATCCAATCAACAAGGCCTTGATTCTGCCTCCTAAGGACTACCCAGATCACAGACAATCCAGACAATCATCAGAACTAGGGGGCTGGGCAGAGAGAACAAATCATCTGTTAGGGAGTGGGACGGAAAGTGGAAACATTGCAGAAGGGCAAATAGGCTCAGAACAGTGGGGAAGAGAGTAGCACTGGGGAAACTCCGTAATGAGGACAGGTCAGCGGCAGATCCTGGAGGTGTGTGTGATGCTTCTGTCCTCACTAGTGGGCTGGAATGGAGGCTGGTAAAGAAGTTCAGGCACTTAAGTGTTGCTCAGCACTGCTTTGTTGAAGGCTGTTTTTCTGTGAGTTCCTAAACACAGTATTCCGGCGGGATCTGATCCCAATGAGTAGTCCAAATCCAGGTTGTGTATCAAGTGCCACGGCAAATTCTACTTCAGGACTGACGTCGTTTCAGGCATCTGGATGTTGTCAAAAGTCCACATTGCGAGCTGGCCTAATTTGAAAGACCCTATCTAGTTCTAGCCTTTAAATTCCATTTGTCCTCAAATCTAGTGTTACATGGCATCTGTACAAGCTAGGTAGCTGAGTCACGGGATCAGCCCTACGAAGGAGCTTTTGTTCTAGGTCTGGCTCCAACTTGGCACTCCAGTTCCAATAGCTGGACATTCTCTCATCTGCGTTCTTCTGATCCTTGGACTGGGAACAAGGTTACTACTCTGATCCCACAAAGCAGTGGTTCTGGTTCCCAACTGGTTACTATTTTGCCTCCCAGGGGACATTTTTGGTTTTCACAACTGGGATACGGTGTTAAGAGGGTAGAGGCTAGTGTTACTGCAAAACATATAGCAAAATCCTATTCTGCCCAGAATGCTACCAGTGCCAAGGTTGTGGGAGCCTTCCTACCCAAGCGCTTGGTCTATTCCTTGCTTTGCCAGCTCGCTAACCCTTAAACATAACAGTTCAAATTTATGCATAAGCATCTCCTAAGGGACCTGCGCATTTCCATTATCGACTGCTGAGACCCATCCGTAGAGATGCAAGCTTTAGCAAGTCTAGGATTGAGTTCAACACTTGAATTTTAACAAGTGCTCCAGGTCATTCTGAAGCAAGTAATATGAACCACACATTGAGGAACACTGCCTTCAAGAGATTGAATCTTGCTTCTAAACACTAGCTGGTATGTGAGACCATTTGCCTGCTGACTGATTTTCCTGGCCCAAACATTCTGCCTGCCTGCCCTTCTTTCCTGGCCCAAACATTCTCCCTTGTCAATCTCCCCTGCTTGTCGCAAAGCTTCCCAACAGCTCCCCCGACTCTGGCTCTTCCTTTGTGACTTCCCCACGCCTGTGCCCCCACCACGTCGTGGGGTGTGTCTGAGGGGCCATCCGAGCAGCCCTTGGGCTCCATAGCAGCCTGAGGGCTCCCCAGCGTAGAAGCTAAGCAGGGTCGGGCCTCGGTGGGGCTTGGATGGGGGACTGCTTGGGGAGACTGTGGGCTAGAGGCTTTTGGCTCCCTGCTACCTCCTTTTTTTTTTTTTTTTTTTTTT